TTCTCCCTCCCACAGTGCCCAGGCTGGGTTTTGCTGACTCAAAGGACAATTCCTGTGAAGGTTCCAGCCAGCTAAACCTGAAACATGAAACATGCTGTGGAATTTCCCTGGCTCTTGGCAAGCAGCTGCTCAACCAAGGTCAGCACCCAAAACTGGTGGGGCCAGTCCAGGGCCACAAGTGCTGGGGTGAAGGAGCTGCAGGGGGCTCCAGGGGCTCCTGGCATTCAAGGAGATCTCAGCACTCCCCAGTGGGACTCCCCCAGGCTCTGCACAGGGACAGCACGTGGGGCTCAGCTCAGGGGCTGGCTGCAACAGTCCTGCTCTGGGATGGAGCAACTGGCTCCAAGAAAGCCTGGAAGTCATCCTAAATTTAGAGTGAGGAGATTCTGGAGCACGAGAAGCACTAATAGCTGGAAGAAGCTTTGGCTGACCCTCAGTTCTACCCTGTCTCTGGGTCTGGGTATGGTTTTGGGGGTGCTGGCTGAGCACCACTCCCTCCTACAGCCAGAGACATTAAACAGAGGAAAGAGCACAGGAAGTGATTTTTCCACATTCCCAGAGAAAAGGTCTTAGAGTTCTTACCTCACCTGTGTAGCCCCCAGGACAAGATGGACAGAGGTTGGAGCAGCCTGCTCTAGTGGAAGGTGTCCCTGCCCATGGCAGGGGCTTGGACCAGATGGAGTTTAAAGTCCCTTCCAGCCCAAACCATTCCTTGTTTCCATGACACACCAGAGCCTGGGGCAGCACAGCAGGCTTAAAGGAGAGACCTGCAGAGGACCCACAGTCCCCATCATGCTGTGGCTGCAGACACAGCACAAGTGAAATCCTGCAGCTGATGTTCAACTGCTGCAAGGGGATGTTGAAATCAGAAACAACAATTTACCACACGTTATCTCCAAGCAAACAGTGCTAAAATGCTGATAGGGATGGAGACATCCTGCTTCGGTTATTAAAACACTGAATTTCTGCAAAAATAGTGGATGTTTGCCAAAGGGAAAAGCTGCAGAATTAGTTCTGACATGAAAAATGTTCCAGTCATTTCATGGGGTTTTTTTTTCTAAGGGGAAGTGGAAATTATTTCTGGTGAAAGCAAGGATCCCAGGGAACATGTCAATGGAAATCCCCCCAGTCACTCTGTTGGAGGCACGTTGTGGCTGCAGCCTGGAAGACAGAGCTGATAAAACAGCCAGCAAGCTGCAGGTGGGATGGATGGATGACCCTTAAAAACAACAGCCTGTTGCATATTCATATACCTCATACATGATGCATAAATTCCATTCAAACACAGGATTCTGTCTGGTCACTGTCAACTTCTTCCTCTGAATCCTCATGCCGTCTTTCTCTCTGAGCGAGGTGGGAAGAAGTTAGTTCTCTGCTGATAAGGGAGCAATAAATTCCCTTTCTCTGGAAGATTTAGGTGTCCTGTGGCTTCTATCTGGTGCAAGTCCTTTCTTAACCAAATATCTTACATAGCATGGTTTCTATTTTAACATTATGTTATAACCTAAAACAGTATTTAATAGTTAATTTAATACTTAAGAAAATTAATACAGCATAACTTTCTAACATAACACATACAATATTCATCTTAATACTTGCGAAAAGCCAATCATAAAATACACATTTTTCACAGATGGAGACCCCAGACATGGCTGTGCTCTGCTCCAATTCCCCATCCAGACAGTACTTCATGGTCAGCCACCACAGTCCAGACCTACCCACTGAAGTTTTGCTTCCAAACTGGATTCAGAGATCAGCATGAGCACCAGGAGAGATTAAATCCCATCCTCCCATGGCATTGCTGGTCACCATGGATGGGGGAAGATCAGAAACAGCCCCTGCCCTCACAGGTTTGTGGAGCTGCACCCAGGCTTCTTGTAAGCAGCAGGGAAATAAAGAGGGGAAAGGTGCTGTCCTTCTTGGTAGAGCCAAAGTGCTCCAGTCAGTGTTTTTTTGGCTAAATTCCCTGCAGATGTGGTTTCTGAGTGATGCACATGGGCCAGGAACACAGAGAAGAGGGGCAAGGAAGGGCCTGATCCTGCAGCTGATCATAGACTTATGGAATAGTTTGAGTTGGAAGGGGCTGGAGGCCATCTAATTCCACCCCTGCCATGGGGACACCTCCCACTGTCCCAGCTGCTCCAGCCCCAGTGTCCAGCCTGGCCTTGGGCACTGCCAGGGATCCAGGGGCAGCCACAGCTGCTCTGGGCACCTGTGCCAGGGCCTCACACCCTGCCAGGGAAGAATTTATTCCCAATATCCCATTCATCACTGCCTTCTGGCAGTTGGAAGCCATTCTCCCTTGTCCCAACCCTACATGCCAATGAAAAACATCCAATTTCAATGCAGTTTGAGCCCTGAAATCTTGTTCTTTGTGGAAGAGTTATCTCTTCTGAGACATCTCTGGTGCAGATCCCAAATCCCAAGCTTGTCACTGAGTCTCAGGAGCCACCAAGGAGAAGACGAGGTGACAGTAGGACATCATGTACCTTACCTCAGAGCTTCCATAGGGTGATGATGGTGTCCCAAAATCCTGTGGCCAAGGGTATTGGGACTCTGACACAGTCTGGGGATGTGTTGCTGTTCCCAGCCACCCTGAAATGGGGAACATAAGGAGCTCAGCCCACCTCCAGTGATGCTGACACCTGGGTCCAGCAGCCTCATTACCAGCCATAAAAATCACCAGCAGATGCTCTCACCTCATTAGAAAATCTCCTCCCACCTCATGCCTTTGGCAAGATCTCAGGGTTCCATTCTGACCCTGCAATCCCTGCTTTGCTGCTTGATTAGTTCAGAAACCAAAAACCCAGAGAGAAGTTCAAGAATCTGCTAATTTTTTTTTCCCAAATGGCAATTGGCTATGGAACTCTGGCTCTTTTTTATGCCTCTCTTCCCACCAATGGGGAAAAAAAGGAAATGTTGGTGTTTCTGCCATGTTGTAGATAATTTACCACCAACCAGCCATGTGGAACTACCCAAGAGCTTCCCCAAACCACACCTCTCCCTGGGTGAAAGAAACACCACCCAGCCTCCACTCCAGGATTTCTGGGGGAGTTAAACTGGTTTTTAAAAAGACTTAAACTCCCTTCTTGCTGTGAGTGGTTGATATTTAAGGTTTGTGGAAAGAAAAGCTGGACCTCAAATTCCTCTCTGGCTCCTTACCCAAAACCATTCATTAATGACAGCTGAAGACAAAGACCATCATCCTGGATGGACACAACACTTGGAAAACCTCCACGCTCTCTTCCCTTCCAACCTCTTTTCTTTGCTACAACACAAGAAAAATCAGAGCAGGGATGAAAAATGGCTCCAGCCCTCTGTAGTTTTTCCTGCTGTCCAAAATAAATTTAAAGCAGCTCTAAAACCACTACCCCCTGCCCATTTCATTTCAAGTCTGGACACCCCACGCTGTGCTGTCAGCCTGGCATCCTCTGCTCAGCTCTGCAGCAATTGCTGGAATTGGGCTCCTGCATCCCAGTTTAATGCCATGGAATGAAGCAGCACAGCAGCCTTCGGAGGCGACTGTGGCTGAAACCCTCATGGCTCATAAATGTCAGGTTCAACTCTGCTTCATCCCAGCAGTGCTTAATTCCAAAGTTGGAGAGTGACATAAAAATAAATGGAGAGCAGCGATTGCGTCCCGGCAGGACTCGGAGCGCGGCTGCCTGGGTGTCACGGATCAAGTGACAGCTTCAGACAAGCCCTGCCTCAGGCACAGGCTTTTGGCAGCAGCTCTGCTTAGGTGACCTGCACCTCAGTCCCTCTGGCTCACAAGATCTTAAGGCTGGCTGATTAGGGCTATTATAAAATGTGTTATTTATTGAACAGACAGGAGGTAACAGACAAAAGGCCTTCAACAGTTCCTACACAGTACAAAACAAGAGAACTACTGAGAGATTACATAAAACAGTGCACAACATTAAGGTTATTGTTATATATTAAATATATATTGTTATATACTATTGCTATATATATTAAAGCTAGCAAAGACACAGTAGAGAACAGGAGTCAGTGGAACTCACCACCCATAGAGTACAGAGTCCTTCCATTCAGCCCTCGAGCGAGTAACCACAAAATTGATGTCCCAGCTTTGGGGAAAGCCCCACAGATTTCTAGAGAATGTGCAGAAGACTTTTGCTTTGTGAAAGTTTGGTGCAGCTTTTATAGTTTGCAAAGTGGAGTGTCTGTCAGTCAAAAATTCCAGCTGATCTTTCCACAGTCTTACTTCCACAGCAAGATGTTTATTGTCAGCTAGTAGTGTCACTTTCCCAGTGCCTGAATAACCATGAGACAGGCGATCTTTAGTGACTTATTTCACCAAATGGCAAGCTTTTGTGAAGGGCAGAAGCCTTGCACCAGCTGACAAACAGCAGGTAAGTGCCTGTGGTGGGAGAGGAGCGGCCACCTCTGCCTCCCTCTGCAGCTGCTGCGTGTCCGAAACACCAGCTGGTGCCAACATCTGATAAACCATCAGCAAAACTGGTGATAGCTTCCATGGGGGAGAGCTTTTCCTCTTTGGATTTAAACAACGAAATTTACTGGAAACAAATTGTTAGTAAGAAAGGGAAGGGGCTGAGATTTCATAGCTCTGTTGCAGTTATGTCAGGAGGGGCAGTGGAGGAGCAGCTCTGGTTTCTGCTCTCTGGGACAAGGACAGGGAACGGCTGGAGCAGGGCCAGGCAGGGTCAGGCTGGAGGTCAGGAAAGGTTCTTCCCCCAGAGGGGCACCTGGGGAAAGTGAACCTGAGGGCAGAAATGGAAACTATTTAATGACTGTCTTTGTCTTAAAAATCTACAGATTTAACTCTTGGAATTACTCCATCCCCCATCCAGAGGACACGTCCCTCCTTCCTCCTCCCAAATTCAGCACCTGCCAGGAGCCACTGACACCCACCACACCACAAGAGAAACTCACCCTCACCTCAGCCAGAAGCCTTCAAAACACTTGCAATTATTTTCCCCCGCACCATTTTAAGAAAATAAAATAAGAGGAAAAATTTAACCAGATCATCTACTTTTTATTTCAGAGGAAAGATTTGCATTATTTACTTTTATTTATATACATGTACTTCACATTTGTATTTAAAATGCACACACCTCCCAAGAATTTTCTCGTTCCGGCTTTAAATTAGCTGTTATTTTACAATACAAAAAATTATACCAAAAAACTGCAATCCTAAATGTGTGTATGTATAACACCCACAACCCCAGCAATGAAATAGTTTACAATACTTGCTCCTATTTACATATGAATGCAATAAATGCTAAATTATACATATTAACAAACTAAGCTCAAGTCTGAACACAGATAAGAATCATAAATAATTACAGAACAAAGAGGGAAAAATCCAGAATACAATTAATTCAAGGATCTTAGTTTAAAGAACATTTATTGTGCACAAATTCCAGAGTAATATAAAACTCTTTTTTTTCTTTTATTTTTTTCTTTTTTTTTTTTAATGGACTGACATGTGATAGACTCTGCAACAATTGTGGTTTTTTTTTTTTCTTTTTTTTTCTACTGGTGAGGTTTGTGGAATCAATACTAAATGGAGAGGAAATGTCTAAAGAATTCTAGTACCTGGAAGACGCACACAAATAGTCTGTGTGAACAAAGAAACAGACTGAACAAAACCTGCCCTGATGCAGAAAAAGTCAGCAGATACACATATTGTAGTAGTCCTGGCATGGAAACTCAGCTCGTTTCAGCAGCTACAACAGAAAAAGCAGGAATTTGTCTAAAATTGCAGAGAACACACCCCAGAATGAGGAGCACGCCCCAAGCCATCCCTTCCCTCCCTCCCGCAGCCCCAGCAGCTGGGGAGCAGCTTCCCAGCACAGCAGCTCCCGGAGCTCTGCCACGGCAGCCCTTCCTCCCTTCCCTGCTGCTCCCAGATGGAGAGACCCGGAGGGGCCGAGGAGCTGCTCGGGGCACGCAGAGCCTGCTCGCTGCTTTCTCACAGCGCAGTTTAATATCAATATAATACCAACAAATCCCCGTTTCCAGCGGGAAGGGGCTGAGGGCTCCCAGGTGCCGCTGGTGCTGTCCCCAGCTCAGGGTCTCATGGAGAAGGAAAAGCAGCTGGAACACCTGGAGCAGGAGGACGGAGGGGCAGCCCAGCCACACGGCACTGGAGCCCCAGGGGTTGTGGAAAAGGCCCAAATTTGATTTCAGCCTCAAACCCTCCCTTCAGCTCAGGCAGGGCCGAGCAAGCCGAGTGCCATTTGCAGCCATCCCAGAACCCAGGGCCTGGGGACCTCGGCCACCTTCCCTGCAGAGAACTGGAGCTTTGGGCACCCTCCAGGACACAAATACCCTCAGGAGCGTGGATCTGCCAGCACAGGCTGCCACGTCCACGGAAACGCACCTCTGAATTTGGGACATTATATGCCATGGCTTGATGTCAATTGCAGGCATTTCCCCATGCCTGCTTTATTTTGGTAATTTCACTACAATGCATTTTATGCCCAGAGAAAGTGATAGGAACAACTGAAAAGTTGTGTCTCATAAATATTCTTGTATCCAAAGTATTGAGCCAGAGTGTGGCAAGGTCATGCTACACCAGCCCAGAGAAAATTCTGGGCTAAAAACCATGGAAAATGGGGAATATTTAAAAAAAAAAAAAGTGCTGTTTGGAGATCCACTGGCACCATTGTTTTCTCGAATAAAAGGGCCCCAACAGTTCTGAAATTTCAGTACTAATTTTTTTAAAGGCTCCTCTCAGAGAATGAAAATCTTCTGAGGGTCAAGATGTCGAATGCTGAATTTCAGCCAGTTACAAACACCTGAAAATAGTGATTTTGAACGGAAACACTGCCACAATTTTAGTAACAAAAGCCTTAAACTACTGATTTAATCCTCCACGCAGTGACCACTATAAGGACCTTTATTACTTGTATCCAAATGTTGCTTTTCCCCTTTCAAATGGAAAAGCCAATATTTAACTTGGTTTCTACATTTAAGTGAAATACATTTGAACACACAAAAGTCAAGTTACGCCTCCCTGCTTTGCAAGACATCATGATATAATCTGGTGTTTAAAGCTCTGGAAAGTTATCTACTACTGATCAGATGAAGGAGTTATTAAGACAAAACTCATACATAACTTAAAATCATCAAAAATACATTCAATATTTTTTCTGGTTTATATACACTTTAAATCTCTCCATGTTCTGCACGTTACTGTAGAGTTTATGTACAAGTGCAAAATCTGTGTGCCATTTGTCATTTATTTACAGATTCTCCCATGAAATAAGGTTGTTCTTTCTCCCCCACCTCACCTCCAAATGAAATAAACCCAAAAATCCTTCACTTTTGATACTGGCCTGGTGATAAACTGCCAGCAATTCCTCTTTCCCCTATCCTTTCCCTTGTTTTTCCCTGTTTACCTCTAAGCTGGGATGAAACTGCAGCAGAGCTATGTATGAGAGTTCTCTTCTCCCTCATCAGGATGGAGATCAGATGCAGGGCAGAGCTACATCCTAAAGGAGCCAGTTCCTTTTAGTTACATAAGTAATTCTTGTTGCTCTATTTACATCTTTTGGTTCTGATAAACCTTGACTGATCATTTTTGCTCACTTTTTCAGTATCTGACACCTCATTTTGGCCACACTCCTGGCATACTGCAGGCTTTGCAGACCAGACAGCCCAGCTCTCCAGGAGTGAGAAAACATCCCAAACTCTGTATTTATGTCTTTTTATTAAAGTAAAAATCTATCACCCCTCCAGGCCTACGGTTCTGAAAGCTGTCTGTGATCAGGACAGCCCAACAACTTTAAGCACCTGCCCAAGAGCTGTCCTGAAGAGGGAAACTCAAGCACAGGGGCTTTCACCATCTGGGCTGGCAGTTCTCCTCCCAAAAGCAGCAAGAAGAAATCTGCAAACATCAGGATGTGCATTGTGGCTGAAAATACACAGGGGAGGGACTTTAGTCCAGTCTTATTTCTCCAGTACAGATTAACCCTATCACTGAGCAAGTTAGAAAATATTAGCAGGAGATGAATCTGTCTGAGGTAATCCGTGCATCAGGTAAAACTTAAATTGCCTGAATCCCTTCATTCTAAGACAAATCTCAACACTTTTCCAATCATAATTCCTTTTCCCCACAGAGCACTGAAACTTCTAGTTTAGAAACAGATGCATTTATATATATTTGTATATATAATGCATTTTTTCCCAATATTTTTCTGCAGTCCAAATATTTTATTTCAGTCCCATTGCACTTGTTAAATGACACATTAAATCAGAATTATCATCCACCACAGTCCTTAAGCCATCAGGCTGTTCCCATCACCACTGTCTGGACACACACAGCAATCCACCCCTTTATTGCAATGCTGCCAGGCTCCAAAGAGCTTCTTCAAAATACATGGTTAGGAAAAAAACACCCCAGGAATCAATGGCTGATGTGTGACTGATCACCAGAACACACACAAAAAAGGAGCAGTTATTTGGGTTTCAGTTTGGAAAGGTGCTGCCTGGGCAGACCCAAGAGCACTTCCCTTCCACGTGTTACTTCTCCATTTATCAAGTATCAGATGTCCTCAAGAGAACCCGCCAGCCCAGTGACCCGGGTGAATCCACGATGCCTGTGATGGAACCATAACCACACCCCTCGTTTGGCACCTCCACCAGCCCTTCCCACCAGCTGCAGCCCACCACGCCGTGTGGCCCTGTGCCGCATTCCAGGGGCACACTGGACACCACCACACACAGATGGGCGGGCTCAGTCCAACCCTGAGCCTCAAACCACAATCCCAGCTCGTCAGAGCAGTTCAGATGGTTTGATGCACCCCCCAAGCACCAAACCTTCTCTTTGCTGCTTGCAAGTCTCATCCTTTCACCAGCCAGCAACTTCCTCAACCTCTAACAGAGCTCAAGCTCAACAGGAAATACCAGGATCCGATCGTGTAGAACTCAAACCTGTGGCAAAACAAAGCTGCTCTGCTTGATTTTTATTTAAAGTTCTTTTCTTACTTCATCCTCAAGTGATCTGGCACCCAGAGCGTTGCTTTTTACACTTTGTAAGAAGATGGAGCAAACCATAACCACTGAGGAGCAATGCCTCCAAGCTCAGCTCTCATCCAGAGGATGGCGAGAGGGAAGGGGGAAGAAAGGGGCCAAAATCAGAAAAACGTGATGTGTCTGACTGGAACACAGACTGCTTCTATGAAAATGCTGGTGAAACTGGGAGTTTTCTTATGGGATACTGAAACTCTACGTGCCTTCCCGGCATTTGCACCTGGGTGAGCATCTGCTTGGTCAGGAAAATGCAATTTTTGTCTGACTGCACGGCACAGAGGACACAGAGTGCCTTGGGTGACTCTAGATGTGAGTATACATACCTTTAAAAGAATTTAATTATGTTAAAAAGCAGCATGTGTAGCAGTCTCCTCACTCCTAGATCTGTTCACGTCTAGGCACTTGTGTGTGGTGTACTCCAAGCAGGATAAGACTATGTAAACACTGAGTCTTTCCAAAGCAACATCCAACTTTCCAGTTATTTCATGTGGTCTGAGCAACATCAACCTTTAAACCATCCCAGCTTTTGCCTTCCTGGACCATGATGACTACAAAAAGGCTGTGCCTGGAAGAGAGTTCCACTGAAATAATGAGGGAACAATTACATATTAAATGAAAACAAAGAATGAAGATGCTTTGAAGATTAATAGTAGTGTTTATGTGTTGAGAGCTGACACCTGTAAACACTGGATCTTTTTCTTTTTGTACAGTTTGATAAATACATGAACTACAAAGCACTTTCCATGTAGAAACCTGAGTGTCATTCATTGGACTACTGTTGTATTTACACTGACCAGGAGTGGCGGCGTCGGACCTCACCGCACCTGCACGGAAATCACTTTGCTTTAACCTTGAAGAAAACAAAGGAGCAATCTGAAGCCATGTGTCAGTAAAACTTAGGTGGAGCAGTTGTCAAATAAAGCCAACTAGCACGTAGATGAGAGAAAAAAACTGGGTTCAAGGAAGTTGTGGTTTTTTCCGGGTGCTTCTAGTCTCTTGGGACACAACTTGGAAATCTTCCTCCTCCTTGGTATCACTTTTCCATTTTGTTTAAAACCCTAGACAGTTTCTGATGTCCATGCATCAAATACAGGTTCCTGGCTGTGCAGGGGGCTGCTGCTTCCGATTTCGGATGGCGCCCGATTTCTCTTTGTAGGCAATTGGCATCTGTTGTGAAATGTCCACCAGAGCACTGGCCACCGCGAGACCTGGGCAACAGAACCAACAGTCAGGCACCAGGACAGCCACAGCACCAAACCCTTCAGAAAGAGCTGAGAAAATCCCTCCATGCCACAAAACGTGTAGAATTTTTTAAATAAACTAGAAAAGTGTTGTGGCCCAAGAATTAAACTCCAGCCAATATTCTGAAAGGAGCTGAAATACTGCATGTTTAATTAGAAGCAACAGCAGGAGGAAAAGATGCAATAAGGGTGGGTATTACTGGATGTAAATCTCTAAATGTTGAAACCTGAACCCTTAATACTGAAGGTGCCTTTCTCTGCACCAGTAGATGGACTACAATAAACCTGAAAGCAAATGTGCATGGAGGTTTCACTGCCCTTTCCATGGATACAGCACCTCTGCAACCTCCTCAGGGCAGATCAGGGAGTCATGGAATAGTTTGAGTTGAAAGGCACCCTAAAGCCCATCCAGTTCCACCCCCTGCCATGGGCAGGAACACCTTCCACTATCCCAGGGTGCTCCAAGCCCTGTCCAACCTGGCCTGGAAAATTCTAGAGATGGTGCAGCCACAGCTGCTCTGGGCACCCCGTGCCAGGGCCTCCCTGCTCTATTCACAGACAAAGCACATCTCGACTTAGCTCAGTCCAGCTCAACACCAAACCATCCAATTCAAGCCCTGCTAACTCTCTTTCTAAAGCCTTTGCTTCACCAAGCTCACTGGGCACCGGGGAACCCCAGTTAAATCCCACACTGCCCAGGAGATGATGTCCCAGTGCCCTGACACCAGGTTTGGGTGTGAAGGGGTTGAGAACAAGGCTGGGTGGGGAAAAGCTCTTTGTCCAGAGCTCCTAAGAGGAGAGCAGAGATGCTCTGAAAGGACTTCTAGTGGCAGGACAGGGGGGAATGGTTTCAGATTGACAGTGGGCAGGCTTAGATGGGATATTCTTCCCTGTGAGGTGGGGGAGGCTCAGGCACAAGTTGCTCTGTGGCTGGCTGCCCCATCCCTAGCAGTGTCCAAGGCCAGGTTAGACGGGGCTTACAGCAACGTGGGATAGTGGAAAGTGTCCCTGCCCATGGCAGGGGGTGGAACTGGATGATCTTTAAGGTCCCTTCAAACTCAAATCTTTCCATCATTCTGTGACCCGATGTTCCCCTGCAAACGGAGCTGGGAACAAAGTCGGACAGGCCAAGTGACAAGGCCAAGTTACTTCACAGGTAATTAATGCAAACATGACTGTACCAGATCACTCTTTCCCCCACCCAGCTGTCAATTAAAGCATAGTCCAATATCAAATGTTCATCCATCAATTGACCTTATTAAGTAATTAACTCAAAACTCATGCTGGAAGCCAGCAGGGCCCAGACCAGGGAGCCCTAAAATACCTTGAGCACATCCCAAGCTGAACTGTGGCTACAGCAGCTTCTGTGGGATCAGGGAAGGTGAACCTGTAAGGCTGGGGAAGCAGCACAGAGTTAATTCCAAGCCATCAGAGACAACAGCAATCCTCACCTGACTGTCCTGGTGGTGGAATACCCCCAAGGCCTCGAGGCAACCTGACGAACACGGAGAGAACAGCTGCCTTGTTCCCAAAGCAGGGCTCCAGCGCGATTGGCTTCGGGACAGTCTGCAGCCAGGGAAGCAGCGGCACAAAACAAATGTTAAACAGCGTGTTACACCCTCCCTCTGCCCCCAGCATCCTTCCTTCAGCTCCTGCAAGCCCCAGGGCATGAACCACCATGAACTACACTGCTGTGCTGGGCAGATTTCCAGCACACAGCCAGCAAAGCTAAAACCACTGTCAGCAACAATCAAAACATGAGTCATCACAAGAAAACACATTCACTTAATAAAAATCAGGCTATTAAAAAGTCAAGCACTACACAAGGCTTGTATTTCTCCCCAAATTCAATAACAAAGGAGCAGCTTATGTAATCAACAAGATTGAGGTTTTTGTTCCATCGACCCCATCAGCAGCCTGTCACTGATAGCAGCATGCACCACCACGGCGATTCGATACTCCACATTCTATTTCCAGAATTAAAGTCCATGTACCACCTTAACAGCACTCTATGCATTAACACAGTAAACAACATTTTCCCAAGAACAAAAATAAGTGTTCAAGGCCAGGCTGGACGGGGCTTGAAGCAACCTGGTCTAGTGGAAGGTGTCCTTGTCCATGGCAGGGGGAATTAGATGGGCTTTAAGGGCCCTTTCAATCTGTCATTCTAATGTTTACCAGGCAGTCAGCTTTCTCCCTGGAGGAGCAGAGGACGGGATCCCTTGCTAACCCTCAGTGCCTGTGGCCATCTCCCTCCCACTGCACTCTTGTGAAGATTTTACCTGAATGATCAACAGCCAGCTTCAGTACGTCATTAGAAAGCCAAAATGCAACAGCCCAGCCCAGAAACTAAAGTATGTTCTCAGCTGGGCCCCAACCCCACACACAAGTACACAGGATCAGTGCTACTGTGGGCTGCAACAACAGCCAGATTAGGATGCAAGTGCTCACCAATGAGTACAGGTTCAGGAGAGTTTCTTCTTTTGTTCCACATCAGCTAAAAAAGCTGAGAAACACTATTTTTACCCAATACACTCAGTGCTGTTTTCTTGTTTAGTATGGACAAATTTCACTCTGGTGTTAATGAAATAATTAGTTCTTTTTCTATCAGGCATCAAACTACACCACAGTACTCAAATATTCAACAGAAACTCAATGCAATGTAAGCCATGAAAAAGCCTGAACAGGAGTCAAACATGCTGTTAAATTACAGCTGCTCAATAAAAAAGACAAAAGGAGACAACAGCAAGCAAAATGAAACTTAAAACTTGCCATATCTCCCATTTACTGCAATGACTGCAGCAGTGTTTGTTGGTCTGTGCCAGGCAGATAAATACGTGCTGCACAGGCTGGATGATGGAGCTGCTGCCTGCCTGGTTTATGACAGCAGATTTCTCCATCTCCCCACCCCCAACAAAGGGACCCAACTCAGAGTAAAGCTTTTCCCAGAAGGAAACAAGCACACCCTGGTGCTGTATCCCAGAGACTCAACTGCCAGAGGTAACAGAGAGAGCACGGAGAGGAACTGCAGGAACAGAGCCCACGGACTTCTGCCTTGTGGGGGGAGCAAGAACCCAACACAAAGCTGATTTTCTTTTGGAGACACTCAAGCATCCTACTTATTCTACTGTTAATAAAACAGTTCTGCTGAATTCCAGAGCTTGGAGGATGGCACTTGGGTTACAGAGAGCTCTTGTGCTCACCCTCAGCACTGAGCAGAATGAGCAGCAAAGACCACACAGACAAGTGATGGAGGGAAGACAGTGAAGGAGTAACTGAATAAGAAACTTTCTTTTTACATACTTTTTAATATATTTATTTTCAATGGATTAATGGCCATGCCAGGTTGGACACTGGGGCTTGGAGCAGCCTGGGGCAGTGGGAGCTGTCCCTGCCATGGCAGACCATGGAAAGATGACCTTTAGAGTCCCTCCCAACCCATGAGGATGGTCAGCAGCACATACACCATCCTCCAGCCAACCTGCAGAAACAGGAGGCTGGAAAATCCATCTCAGGGGTCACCCAATCCAGCCCTCCACTAACACAGGCAATTGCACATAAAAGCACAATTCTCTGCTTTAAGAATAGTTACACTTTCAGCCTGTGCCATCACCTCTGGGAGACCTTTCCAGATCCCCAGGTCTGGATCTCCCCAGAAACTTTCTTTTAACCTCAAATCGTTCACACTTCATTCATCTGCCTGACATTCTTCTGTGCCTTAATCCTCTCCCTGGGCTTTACCCTGCTGTATATCTCAGCCTTCTTTTGGATCAACTGGAAGAGCAACACTCTGAATTCCTTCTCTGGACACAAGCACTGCCTCCTCCAGCTCTCCAAGCGCCCCTCTCTGCGTTGGTTCTCGAGTGACCTGAGAGGCATTTCAGGCTCTGACAGTGCCTCTGTTGTGGTATCCAAATCACACTGAGTCTCCTGCACATCATAAAATAGAAAGAAACAGAAGTTGCTCATTATACAGCTCTCAGTCACAGAGCTGAAGGGACTTGGAGAGGAATTTAGCTCATCTCTCAGCCCCAGGCAAGACCCTCTCTCCTCCTCTGCCCTTTCCAGCTAAGAACCCTGAGTGTGTAGCAGAAATTGTCATTATGAGTCCCTGTGGGCACAATCTTCCCTTTCCATGGAATTCTTATTTTGGTCCTCAAGGTCACACATCTTGCTCCACTCTGCTCTCCTGCTTCCACAGCACAGATAGCTGGGGACAGGATGTAGCCCCTGAGCCTCCCTCCTTCCATTGTCAACCTGCCCAGAAAACAATCAGAATCATGGAATGTTTTGGGTTGGAAGGGACCTTAAAGTTCATCTCATGCCCTGCAGGGAGCAAGGACACCTCCCACTGTCCCAAGCTGCTCCAGCCCCAGTGTCCAGCCTGGCCTGGGACACTGCCAGGGATCCAGGGGCAGCCACAGCTGCTCTGGGCACCCATGCTAGGGCCTCACACCGTGCCAGGGCACAATTCCTGCCCCATATCCCATCCATCCCTGCCCTCTGGAAGTGGGAAGACATTCCTTTTGTCCTGTCACTCCAGGCCTTTGTAAAATCTCTCTCCATCTTTCCTGGTGGGCCCTTCAGCTACTGAAAAGCTACAATTAGGTCAACCCAAACCCTTTTATTTTCCAGGCTGAACAATCCCAAAAAAGATGAGGGTTGGTAAAATATTGTTAATATTTCCCTGTGTGGGGAACCTTATTTCTCTCAACCATGCACAGCAAGGATAATGATGCACCCAAAATCTGTCAGGCAGTTGCAAACTAATTTGGAAGGAATTAAGTACGACATCACTTTGCTGCAGCTAAGCTTCATCTTAAAACTAAAAGGGGAAAAATGGCCTATTGTCCATCAAATTCAGCTTTTCCTGAGACAAGCTGCAGTTAATAACAACAAAAACTCGCCTAAAGAATCAAGTCCTGCACATTTATTTTTGACAGCCCCAGTTCAGGCACCTGTTTTCTGAACTGTGACTCATTGTGCATCTCGTCCCTGCGCGCTGCTCGCCGGCCGGGAGACAGAGCAGGGAGGGAATGACTCAGAGCCAGCGAGGGATGAGGAATCTGGAATTGGAGCAGGGAGGTCAGCAGTGAAGGACACGCTGTGCCCTCTGCAAGGCAGAACCAGTGCTGGAGCCAGGGAGCAGGTTCTGCACTCAGGGAGGGAAATGTGAGATTCCAGCCAGCAGCTTCATTGGGACCTGGACTGCAGACCTCACCCAGCCCAGCCCCTGGCCCTGCCCAGACCCCAACAATCCCATCCTGGCCATCCCTGGAGCTCTGGCAGCCTCGGGGCCGTGCCCATTCCCTGGGCAGCCTGGGCAGTGCCCAGCACCCTCTGGGGAAGAACCTTTCCTGATCTCCACCTAACCCACTCCTGACGCAGCCCTATATACTCTTTTGTTGCAAATCCAAGCCATTCTCCTGCAAGAAGATTTTGAGTGAACTTGGAAAGCAGAGATCAGATGTGAGAGATGGCTCTTAAGGGTAAACTTTAAAAAGATACATAAAAAGGTGTATTTCCAAATTTTGTAACAACCTCTATCAGATGCTTAAAACCTGCCTCTGCCAGCAACTTCCATTCAGAGGTTTTGATAAACCCATTGTTGAATTATAGAAGTGATTCTTTTTTACTGAAGGCTTAATGGCACAATAAAGTAGACACTATTCAAATCTATTCAAATAAGGTGCATCTCTCAGACACTCAGCACAAGAGGACTGCTTTGAGAGAGGCCTGAACAGCAGAGTCCCATCACGGGAGCAGATACGGAGGGGAGAACAAAGCCCTGGTGCTGGAGTGGGTGGGCAAAGTCCACAGTCAGTGGCCATGGACAGACAGCTGCAGCTGAGTCATCAGGCCCCTGCCCTGAGGCACCTCTTGTCCTCAAGGAAATATGGATAGCTGTGCCTCCAGCACACTGGAGAGACAAATTCATGGAGCTGCTCACAGAACCATGGAATGGTTTCAGTTGGAAGGGACCTTAAAACTCATCTTAAAGCCATGGACAGGGACACCTCCCACTGTCCCAGGCTGCTCCAAGCCCCAGTGTCCAACCTGGCCTTGGGCACTGCCAGGGATCCAGGGCAGCCACAGCTGCTCTGGGAATTGCAGCCCAGCCCCTGCCCACCCTCCCAGGCAGGAATTCCTTGCCAAGATCCCAGCCCAATCTGCCCTTTGCCAGTGGGAGCCATTCCCTGTGTGCTGTCCCTGCAGGCCTTGTCCCCAGTCCCTCTGCAGCTCTCCTGGAGCCCCTCCAGGCCCTGCCAGGGGCTCTGAGCTCTGCCTGGAGCCTTCCCTTCTCCAGGGAACACTCCCAGCTCTCCAGCCTGGCTCCAGAGCAGAGGGGCTCCAGCCCTGCAGCAGCTCCGGGGCCTCCTCTGGGCTCTCTGCAGCAGCTCCACGTCCTCGTGCTGTTGGCCCCAGGGCTGGGGCAGCTCTGCAGGTGGGCTCTCACCTGAGGGGCACAGGGACAGAGTCCCCTCTCCCCTGCACTGACTAACCTGAACCCTCCCCTGCAAGGGGCTTTCCATGCTCCTCCACAGCAAAGCAACAATCAATGGACA